GTATTGGCTGTGTTGTTTCTTTTTTTGTGGGATGTCCAATTTATATGTAGAAATGCACATTTGCAAAGGTGAGTTGGTATGTTGTCGTAAAAGTGGCTCTCCCTTTGATTTTGCTCTGCCAATGCGGCTCTTGTGAAAAAAATAGTGAGGATCACTGCACTACAGTGTATTATACAACCAGTGCTCAATACAAAAAATTCAAGTAACAATTAATGAGTCCTTATCTTAGATCTTAGATTGGCAGCAAACCAAAATACTTAGTTTGAGACATACAACTTTTGGCCAATGAAAATAAACCCAGGTGACGCCTTTTGCATCGAATAGACACGCTCAGTGATTCTCTGACGACTCCAGTTACCTCCCATAGTTCAGTCAGTGTGGTGCCGTTAGCTCCAGGGAACGGCTAGCCTGCGGGCTGGGCGGTTTGAGGGTTTGTCCTGGAATTTATTACAGGATGGAGTTGGAGAATAATCCAATTCTATAGAACAGATGAACTATGAGATATGGAAGTTTTAGCTTGTTGCCAGGGACTGACAAGCTAATTCACCATCACTTTCAGGATGTGCTGGGCCTCTTCCACTGGTAGGTAATTTAGGTGCACCTAGTTTGGTTCAAATACTGGCTTTGCAAACACAATAAATAATGCTGCTCTAGCGCAGGAAAGTCGCCACAGATATCAGATTTAAAAACTTCATGATAGGTGGTTTAATCAGCACTGTGTGAACGCTGTTGGCAAGGGCTTGAATGGAATGGGTGTTCATTTCTATGTAAGGCTGCACAGTTAATTGAAAGAACATCAAAATCGCAATATGGCCAAGTGCAATATCCAAAGCTGCAATTTTTTAATAAATGTAGAATGCGTGACAAACAGCATTATAATGAAGTATTGAAGTTCTGAAGAGATGTCCTGGCCTACAAATCCTGTTCTTCAGACTTAAGAGAACATGTTTGTTTGGTACAGACCACAGAAAAAAAGTCAAAATTAAATTTGTGATGCAAAAAGGATAATCACACACATTGCAATCACGATATCTGTCAAAATTATGGCGTTTTTACCATATCATGCAGCCCTATTTATTTATTTGTTTTTAAGTAAATATTCCACACTTAAATTAGTGAGCTTTAGAGGAGGTAGTAGGCAGAGTTTATTCCCTTTGGACAGAGCCAAATTAGCACAAAGACAGAAAAGAGCTAGCCTAAGCTAACTGACTGCAGCTTCATATTGTAGTGTACTGTATACTGTAACAGACACATATGAGAACTGTATTGATCTGCTCATCTGACTGTCAGAAAGAAGAAGAAGAAAACCAAAATATTGAGTTATTGCTTCTACCAAGTGCCTAAAGTTACAAATGTCACGCTGTAGTTGCCAGGAGGGATAATGAAACACGTTGACAGTAAAAGGTTTACACGCACGTTTAATGTAAATGTTTCCTCTTTATGATGATAAAAACTATTTGGACGGACACACCAAAGCATATTTCCAGTACATTTTTCAGTTCTAGTACATTTTCAGCAGACAGGGCTGCAAAGATTGCCACAGGTGATAGTTGACAAAGATTATCTGGTCGAACAAGAGATTTCCATCACAGCAACAACACCCTCATCGCTGCCAACACCACACCAGTTCACCTGTTTATCACTTGCTCCAGCTTACCCTCATTCTTGACCAACACCAAGAGATACTCGAACCAAAAACTGTCTCAAGCCTCGGACTCGGACCTCAAGTGTGAGAGCTTCACTCTCACACTTGAGGTCACAGCCTGATATGACAGCAGTGAGGTGGAGATGCTAATGCCGATGTTATCTTTCTCTCTCTCTCTATCTCTCTGTGTCTCACACATGGACACGCCACTTAAACCTCAGCCCTGCCATTTCCCCTCTGGCTGTGTGTGAGTGCATCTTGCACCCATGACCGTTTACCCTCTGAACGCTGGATCTCAGCACATGTGAGTGACTTTATTTTTGATTTCCTCTGTAAGCAGACAAAGGACAAGCCCTTTCATCTCAGATTGGGTATCAGCAGTCCAAAGCACAGAGAATCAAACTCTGCCCCTCTTTTTCTTCCTCAACTTTTTCCCTCTCCACCTCTGGCAACACACACAAATACCTTTTCTTATTTCTCCTATTTACCATTATTATTCTAAATTATTATCTTTACATGTAGGCTTTTTTTGTCTAATTACCATACAACGCATGTGAGAGATAAGCAAATGCAAATGGAATTACCATAATAATTATGTAATCATATCAGTCAATCAGTGAAATTAATAATCAACATCCTGTACACACATGCTCTGATATACACAATGCATATCAATAACAAGTTAATAATGCTGTTCCCATGATTAAGAATCTTAAGATCCATTTCCTGAGTGCAGAACACACACACACACACACACACACACACACACTCACACACCTTGGGTCAACTGCCAGTTGGCAAGTTGTGTGAACCAATTGGGGTTTACTGAGTCTTGTTTCCAACTCTGGCAGAGATCAAAAGGAGGCTATTATGTTCTTGAACTAACTCACTGCGAGACACTCAATCACACACACACACACACACAAACACAATGGTCAAGCTGGAGAGTAATTGTTTTTGGCAGGTGTAGAGTGTATACCTCCAGTAAATGGTTAAGTGGTTGTGTGTTTACATGCTCTGTGCCATCATTAGTTTTGTGTGTGTGTGTCGGGGCACTAAAAGACAAGTAACAGAAGCCTCTTACAAAGTGTTTATACCGAATGTGCCAACATGATGGAATGGTAAGAATGAAAGTTTAGAAAGTAGTGTTTCTGTCTCTTGTACTGCCTTTTTGTTTGTTTCTGTTTATTACTTTCATACTGGAAGTGGGCAGCACTTTTACCTAAGTTATTCATATCTGAAGTTGTTGGTCTCAAGTGACAAAAAAAGCTACTGAAGAAAACTGGACCTTTGAGTGGATTATGGGTTTATTTTGACCAAAGAGTTGGTGATTCTTGGAACAGTGGAAAGACTAACAAAAATGGTTTTTATTTTGTTTCTGTCCAGTTTAAATAAAGTATGTTTTATGAAGATCTGCCATGTAAAATTACAGTTTTTATCAATGGAGTCTGGTGGGCTGGAGTTTGGTGGTCGGAGATGCTGGTGCTGTATTCTAGTGGCAGTGAATTTTGTATAGGACACTTAAAAAGTTGTTAGGCCACAAATGCCCATGTATTAGCATGCATTTTCAGACATATATACAGTAGAAACATGCTTTGTTTTGTACCTTGACCATGCGATGGTGCTTGCGTGATGCCTGGCATCTCATGTTGCTGGTGTTGCAGCAGCCAGTGCAGCGTTTCACCTCGACGCAGGGCGGCCAAATGATGAAGTTGGCTGAGGTGGGATCCACTTGGCTCCGGGGGATCTCATAGATCGCTGTCCGCACCTTGCACACCGCCGGCAAGGCCTCTTCCACCACTACAGGGGAACAAAAAGGTCAAAGTTTACAGAAACTCATTGATATAACTGACATCTAAAAATGTACAGATCTGTTCCAAAATGTATTGGATTATTCCTTGGTCAATG